GCCTTCCGGACGTACTTATGACTATGGGCCTTACAGAGCCGCTCACGGTCGCTGAATTGTGTGCCGACGAAGGCAGGCAAAAGACACAAGTGTTCTGACATTTGCGAGGCTCTCCTGGGGGACAGCGTGAGGAGCAGACCGGCTGACCTTAGAAGGGCTTGTGAAGCACTAGCGTATTTTAAAACCGCTGAATGAGGAGCAAAGCCACTCATCGGGCACGTGACTAACCTGCCTCCAGGAATAAAACACACTTTACTTTGAAGACAGGGCCTTTGAGGAGTGAGCACGTGTCTTTGTGGCAAGAATCCGGGCCTCCAGCACCTCTGAGCATCAAAGAAGCAGGATTTAACTCTTCCGGCTCCTTCTACTGGGATTGAGAATTGGGAAGGCCAAAGGTGGGCCTGTTCTCTAAGTGATGAACCCATAAAAGCTGTGGTTTCCAAAGTCCCTCCCGTCCTCTTCACAGGCCAGTGTGAAGGAAAGGGGTCCCCACGGGGGCAGAGTGAACGGCAGGCACCCTTCCAAGTCCCCACAGCGGGAGAGTGTGGGGGTGACTGGGAGAACAACTGCTGCTCCCCCCAGTTGAGGCCAGATCCTAGAAGAGAAGGGTTTGGTGTAACCATTCTTGGTCCCTCTCCCGTCTCAGAAGATGGCCCTGGCACCTACAGTTGAACAGGTCACAACAAATCCTCCAGACCGAAGACTCACAAACGAGGGCAGCAAGAACTCCCCACCCCCCACATACACATGCTCAAAGAGAGTGTCTGCCAGAAACACAAACTGAGGGTAGAAGAAGAGGCCAGGGATGGAGGGGGGAACTCTCCACGGTCGCCCGTATCAAAACACCATTGCTCTGCAGCAGCCTTCAGCCAGTCACCCCGAAGGAAACCCCACATGAGGAGCCAGACTACAGGCGACTGAAGACTTAAGTGATCCCTGTCTTTCCTCTGCTTTAATTAAAGCACTTCCTCTCATTTAGAAATGAGACGTTTGTTGGGCTTGAGTTTGTCCGTGGTAACAGGGGGTGTGCTCTGTGCCGGGGAAGGCATGGTTACATCCCCCGGGAACGGAGAAGCACCCCATCAGAAGCCTTTTCAGAAATCTTATCGCATGCACAGGATGAAGTGGCGGTTACCAAAAGATTCCCTTTGGGATTATTTTCATCTCATGCGACGAACGGAGCCATTGGTGGGAGCACAGGGCCAAGATGTCTTTGCCTTTGTCGTTTCCAGGATCAAGGTGAGACAGGATAACTGGATTTTTCTCTCACAAGTAGAACCGACCACAAGTTACAGATCCGTAAGCCCACAGCTCCTCAGGCTTCTTACTGGCACAAGCATACAGTCGGCACTTAATAAAGGACAGGAACAACAAAGTCTTACCCCTTCCTCTTTCAGCAGAGCCTCGGTCCAACCATGACCAATGGATGTATTTATGAGAAGAAAAGAGTTAGTCCTCAGAGATTAAAAATGATTCCAGGGTCAATGAGAGTGCATCTGATTGCCTTAGCAAAAGTCAATAGAAAAAGAATGCACTTAAGGTCTGGCAATGTCATACTCATCATGGAAGATTCTGGAAGCCCATTTGCATGCGGGGCTTTAAAAGGAAAGGAGTACAGAGGAAAGATCTCGAGACTCAGAACTGAAAGCATCTGAGTTGGTCTCCGGGCTCTGGCACCTACATCATGACTATTTTCGCACAACCCTCAGCTCTACCTGTAGAATGAGGGTGATGAAAATACACACAACCTCAGAGGGTTACAGGAGGATAACAGGAAACAAGGCCTTCAAAAAGTACTTCATAAGCCCTAAAGTACCCATAGCAATGTTAGTCCTAGGTACCATCAAGGCAATCATATTTTTTAAAAGACCGGAAAGAAAACGCTAAGGACCCCATGTGAACGGTCAGTTCCGGGACAGATTTTAAGGTGTCAAGGCTAACAGTGCTCCTAAATCAAGTACGAAAAACAGCCCCTTCAAGCATGCACGTGTGTAGTGGGAAGTCTGCGCCAGGGACAAGGACACAGCCAGCTACGTCCCCAGAGGAGACCCCACAGCACAATCGGCATCCAGCCTGAGCCCCCATCAAAAGAGAGTGGTGAAGAGAAACCAGCGGCTCAAGTTGGTGACTCTACCCACAGTGTACTGAGCTTGGGAAGAAAGACCCTCCCAAGGACTCGGGAGCCAAGTCAAAGCAGCGGGCTGGCACGGAGGTCACTGGGGGTCAACCCAGGGACTCTTTCACTGCCATCGTCTACACGGGCCGCAAGCAGTGGTGAAGCCATGCCAGAAGGGAGCTCCCAGGCGGGGCAGCTGTCCTCATCCCCCACATTACCTGATGCAGTGGGCAGGAACCAAGCCTCATTTGTCTTCCCGGAGTTTTCTCTTTCTATGAACTGAACTTGCCCAGTTCTGTCCTCATAGGGTGGACACTGCTAACCTTGCCTTCCTTTGTAAGGCTCTCCTTAGAGCTCACTCCAACTGGAGCATCCTTGGGAGTCAAGGATAACAGAGCTAGTGAAAACTGGAAGCTGGCGCTTGGGTACCAGGCACTCAGAAGAAGATGAACACAAGAGAGCAGGGCAGGGCGAACCAGCCGACGACACACTAGAAAACCACCCGCAGCCATTGACAAAACCCGTATCCAAACACACAAGCCCCCCCCCCCCCCCACCAAATGGATGATGCTCTAAAACGGAAACCAGTACCTGTGACAGACTCACTTCTACTCAGCTCCAAGTTGCGTCTCCCAGAGCGGAAGCCCAGCTCATACATACGCATGCACAGCGTGAACAGAATTCACTATGACATACCTCAGAATCAGTAAAAAAGTTGTAAAGGAGCACATCGTCAAATTCCAAGCCTTTGGCTTCATAAACGGTGAGCACAAGTGCTAACCCCAGCTCTTCTGGAATTTTCTCCTTTGCCACTTCATTAGCTACAAGGATTACCTGGGGAGGGAGGGGAGGAGAAGAAGAAGGTAGGAAAGGAAAAAAAACATCAAATTCTACAAAGAGAAATCTGGTAAAAGCTCACTCTATTTCTGTGGGAGGCAAGTAACGTCTTTAAACGAGAAGTGGCCGCCAAGGGATTGGCCAACCAGGCTAGCTGAAATATTTATAACCGTTCATTCGCCCATCCCTGACACTCACCCATTCAGGAAGAGGGGCTACTGAATTCTACACTGTGGAGTAGTTCAGCCTCCCGAACCTTTTCTCAACTGCACACTGCTTTTTCTTTCACAACACGCATTCCCCAGAAGCTCACCTGGTGGGCTCCAAATTCAATGGGCTGGGTTTTCCTTTTGTTCCCTCGGAGCAAAATTGCCAAGTCGCTGACACTGCAAGACTCCAGGACAGTTGGTTTGGGACCATCAAAGAGGCCAGAGTCCCTGGGGAGGCGATCAAAGGATTCTGGGAAATAGAACTGAAGTAAATCCACCACTCCAGATGCCAGATTAAGGATTCCTGACATAGAAGAGAAAACACATGTCACATAATGAACAACACAACAACATGACTGGGTTTTTTTCTGTTTTTGTGCGTGTGTGTGTGTGTGTGGTTTTGTCCTGAGAAGCAGCATTGGCCCTGAGAGTATGGATCACTGCAAGCCAATTTCTGGTTCCCATTAGGTTACCACTTTGGCCCTGTGCGGAATCACTCTGGGGACAGGGGATGAAGGCAGAGACGCGTTGCTAAGGTGTTGTGGGATCTCATCCTCGACCTACATTCATATTAGAGAAAAACACCTCATAAAGAAATGTCGAGGCAGAAATGTAATTTGAACAATCAGTGTTGTTAGGATGCTAATATAAGGGGCTGGTATAGATGGTGAGGAGACAACAATGATTCTGACCCTTGGAGCTTGGAGCACTGGAAATGTTGCCACGGTAACTGCAGTGCTGGATGTTAGCTGGGGGCAGCAGCCAAGGCCTCCATCACCTTTCCACCACATTTATACCCAGCCGAGGTAGGACTAAGCTGGAGAGAGGGTTTTGCGAAGAGCTTTCTCCCTGGGACCCGTTTCTCACTAAGCTCCTGTCACGTCTTGTTCTGTCTTGTCTTGTCCTATCTTAGCCGGTCAGCTGGCTGAACACTACGGCACAACAAACACCTTCATAAAATTATCTCATTTAATCCTCAGGACTGCCCAGTGAGATAGACCAGACAATCCCACCTTTATGAGCAGAGACTCCCAGGTCCAAGAAGTTAGCAAACCCCTCCAAGTGACAGGATTTGAAGCTGAATTGAACACAGATCATCTTGGGTCTCTCCGCTGTTCACAGGGGCCACGTGTCCTTTGCCTAACACCAGATAGAATACTACGTCCTTGGTAAAACGCCACGAAATGGGCATACGTGTCCCAATTGCTATCATCACCAAATAATGAGGAGAACTTTTACTATCCAATAGTAATATTACTAGATGTATACAGTGAGACCACAGGTGGAAACTACTGAGTCAAAGCAAATCAGCCGCTACTGAGGCTCCCTCCCCCTTAAGAGCTAGCAAAGGCCAGCGATCCATACTCATGGGAGCATCAGAAAAGAGCAGGGAAGTGTTCACTGCAGTGATAAATGGGAACCCACTTCAAAGCCTTCTAGAGAAACTTAAGCGAGCACACCCAAAGAATAAAAGATGGTTCCACCGTAAAAAGGAATGAAATTCTGGCACATCCTCCAACACGGAGGACCCTGGAAAACGCTATGCTAATCACGTAGCCAAGGCCACATACTGGACGATTCCTATGACATGAAATGTCCAGAACAGGCAAATCCAGAGATAGAAAGTAGATTAGTGGTTTCCAGAGGAGGGAGGGTGAGGGGAACGGGGAGTCACTGCTAATGGTACAGGCTTTCTTTCTGGGGTGATGAGTGACAATGTTCTGGAATTAGATGTTGGTGACGGTTGTACAACCTCGTGTATATATTAAAACGACTAACTTCCATATTTTTAACAAGTGAATGTGGGAGCACCTGGGTGGCTCAGTCGGTTAAGCACGTGACTCCGGCTCAGGGCATGATCTCACAGTTCGTGGGTTCGAGCCCCACGTCGGGCTCTGTGCTGACAGCTCAGAGCCTGGAGCCTGCTTCGGATTCTGTGTCTCCCTCTCTCTCTGCCCTCCCCCTCTCACACTCTGTCTCTCTCCCTCTCTCTCAAAAATAAGTAAACATTAAAAAAATTTTTTTAATAAAAAAATAAATGAACAGGTGAATGCTGCACTACATGAATCTCAATTTTAAAAAAAGAGTACAGCATAAGGAAAAATATTCACTAAACACAGTGTATATTCACCACATAATCAATACATACATGTGCATGATAAATGCATATCATGTATATTTTTAAATTTTTTTTAACGTTTATTTATTTTGGGGACAGAGAGAGACAGAGCATGAACAGGGGAGGGGCAGAGAGAGAGGGAGACACAGAATCGGAAGCAGGCTCCAGGCTCCGAGCCAACAGCCCAGAGCCTGACGCGGGGCTCGAACCCACAGACCGCGAGATCGTGACCTGAGCTGAAGTCGGACGCCCAACCGACTGAGCCACCCAGGCGCCCCTAATGTACATTTTTAAAAGATCCAAAGGACATGAAACAAAACATTAGCAGTGAGCGGCCCTACAGGTAGCCTGTAATTTTTTTAAACATTTTCTGTGTTTCACAAAGTCTCTATAATCTAGTACATCTTATCTGGGCTTTTCCTGGTTCTATAACCAGAAATGTATACACACAGTCTTCCCTCCATCCCAAGAGAGGAGGTGGGAGGTGGGGTCTATGCAGTCGCTGTCCTCACGGGTTACTTAGCCAGAGTAACCAGAACTTGTCCCAGGAACAGCTCCCCCTGCCAGGCTCTACCATGCCAACCATAAAGGCTGTTGGCTCCGGACCAGCAGCGCCGAACCAGGGGGTCGACCAGAATGAGGAGCTCATTCAAGTACTTGTGCCAGATCCAGCCACTGGATCCAACGACACAAAATGGGTGCCACTGGAGCCACTCCCTGGGGACGAAAAGAGGGAGTCATCCAGTCCACACACAGTGCCAGGCAGGGTAGGAGCTCTGTAAATGATTCCTGAACGGATGAAAAAGGGTCAGGGCTCTCTTTCCTACGAAGAGCGTAAATTACGTTGTGCCAGCTCTTCCTACACAACCCAAGTCTCAGGGATAAGACCACAGAAGAACAAGAAGTTGAACTGCTCAGGCCCAGCCAGGTCCCACAATTCAAATACAACATCTGTGAGGTCTTCTGGAGCCCGGGAAGCTGGGCTGAGTTCTGTGGTGTTCCTGGACTCTGGGAGGCCACCTGCCCTCCGATCATTTTCTGACTCCTTGGCTGAACAAATGAGAATGTTAATCTAATTTCACTGTGTGTGTGTGTGTGTGTGTGTGTGTGTGTGTGTGTGTGCGCATGTCTATGTGTATGTGTGGTATGTATGTATTTTCTCTTTCCACCAAACCAAAGCCAATCTGAGATGCATCTAGAAAAAGAGCATCTATCAAATCCTCCAAGAAACATCAGACGTAAATGGTGAAATATGAGAAATGGTCCCATTAACTTCAGAAATAACAGGCATCTGTTATAACGTCTCCAAAATCTAGTACGTCTTATGTGGACTTTAAGAGATACCTGTTAAAGCTACTACTTAAGATCCTAAGTACTTAAGATCCTAAGAAAAACAACTCATTAAAAAGGCGGGCACAGGAGAGCAGACAATTCACAGAACACCGAGTAGCCAGTGAACGCAGGAAAGGATGCCACATCTCAGGACAATGGAAATTCAAACCATACCAGATGTCATTTCGCACCTACCCCAGGAGCAAACAAGAGGCTATAACACAGATCCAGAGAGATCTGCTCAGGAAGGTTCACTCCGGGATCACAGTGAAAAACTGCCACCAGCCTAATGCCCGTTACTGGAAAATGAATAACAAATCGTGGTACAGCCATAAAATAGGACGCCAACAGGAGTCACGACGGCAGGGACTAGAGCTCCACCTTGTCAATATGCACAAATCTCAAAACATAGCATGAAGCGAAAATGCAAAGTGGCAGGAAGGTATGTCTGGCACGATGCCATCAGATAAAGTTTCTAAGCGTGTAAAACGATACTCTCTTGTTCACGGACACATGCAGGACACAGGGGGGTGAACGTGCGAGCATTCTATAAACCATAAAGGAAGGACTCCAGCGCGGATGTCGTGTTATTCAAACCCTCTGCCCCTTGGTGTTCTCTGTAAAATGGGAAGGATGCCTAACCGGCAGGGTTTTTGTGAGGATCGAGTGCAGGTGCTCTGCATCAGCTGCCTGGCGCCAGGAAGGGGCACAACTGAGGTTCAAGTCAAAAGCACCTGAGTGTGTGCTATTCCGACTGCCTCCTAGCCCTCTCTTTTGGCTTCTCCTGGAGAGAAGTGCCGCTTTGGGGATTAGTAACTGGTCATCGGCATATTGCCGTATATGGCACGAGCTCCTGCTTCCCAAGTGTTTTAGCAGACGTTCTCAAGCACTTTCAGTGCTCCCCTGGAATGTTCTCACGTCATGGCAAGGCCCCTAGGACGCACCTTCCACTCGGCCGCAGCCTGAATTATCAGCCTAAGGATGAGCGGCAGCCGAAACCACAGGGTCTCTCGTTCACGGGCTCGTTTCCTCACAGACTCCAAGATACTCCCCTCACTTCAGCTACCAAGGCCCAGCAGCGCCAGGCCAGCGCCCAGGCACCTCCCCTGCAGGCAGGCACGAAGCCCGGACATACCCGAATGGGACCTGTAATTCTGGTACAGCTGGTGGATCTTCTTGGGCTTCCGGACGGCACACTGCTTGTCCGCGGTGCTTTTGCTGGCATAGTGGAACAGAGAGCGCAGGTCGCTGAAGCGGAAGGCCACCCCCTTCATGATGCTCTGGGCCGTGTCCCCCGTGAGGAACATGGCGTTGGGGTCATTGATGCATTTCATCAGCAGCGCCAGCTCGGCTTGAGTGAAGTCCTGAATCTCATCGCCATAGAGCTCGTGGATGGACCACGGGAGCACCTTGACCTTCGACAGCCTCCGGGACAGGTTGTACAGAACGTCTTCTTCGTCGAAATAACCTTTCTGAGACCTGATCTGCTGGTACAGGCAGAAGAGACCGTAGATCTCGCTCCGGTCTTCCTGGAAATTGGGGCATCGCTTCCTCCCTAATTTCTTATACGCTTCTTCCGTGAGTCTCCCCTGCGGGCAGCTGAGGGCCTCAAAGGACCCCTTCAGAAAAGATTTGATCTCTTTCCAAATCAGTGCAGGGTTGTAGGAGGTTTTCCCTTTGATCATTTTGGGCCATATTTCATTGGCGAACACCTCAAATGTCACATACACCCGGGGGTCGCTGTCGCACGGACGCGTTTCCGCCGCCCTCTCCTCCTCACCATTGTCGCCGTCCGCCTCGGCCTCCTCCTCCTCCTCCTGCCAATTGGGGATGGTCACCTCCTCCTGTGTGGACCACCCCACGATGCTTCTTTTCAAGCTGCCGTCTTCGTTTCTCAGAAAAAATGGTTTGGGCAGAGAAGCATCCAGCAGGAGGAGCAGCTGCTTGGAAGTGACAAACAGAGGAAAGTTCTCGTCCCTCAGGTCCTGGAGTTTGTGGACGTTGGGTTCCGGGGGTCTGTAGTGACTGGTGGCCTTGGTAGACTTGGAAAGCTCGATGAAATTCCGCTGTACCTCCCGGCACAGGACGTGGTTCTTGGTCACGAAGATCTGATGTAAATGCTCCAGCTGGCGGAGATGCTCCGAGGTGCGCGCTTCGGCCCCCCGGCCAGGCCCCCCCGGCTCCCCGCCAGGTCCCCCCGCACGGGCTTCAGGGTCCTGCTCCTCGTCTGTGCCGTCCACGGCTTCCACCTCCCGGGAGCCCTCCGCCTCCTCCTCCTCCTCCTCTTCCTCCTCCTCCCCTTCCTCCTCCTCCTCTTCCTCTTCCTCCGGACCTGGACCCTCCTTTCCGGGGTCTACTTCCAGCCTTCTCTTCAGCCACATCTGTCTGGTCAGCAGCGGGCTTCCCGCCTGCCCAGCCTTTTCCCAGTAGCCGTGGAAATTCTTCCACAGCCGGTACAGGCAGCAAGTTGTCTTCCCGGTGCCGCTGCGGCCGATGAGGATGATGGGCTCCAGCGGCCTGGGGTTGAGGCCGATCACGGCATGCTCGAGTTCGCCCACCCGGAAGGGGTACTCCACCATGGCCGTCGTGTCGTTGAGGATGTTGAAGGCCATGCTGGTGCTGAAGCTGTGGAACTTCATGATGTTGTACTCGGTCTCCACCGCGCTGGCGGGCGGGAAGTACTCGGGGTCCGCGTGCCCCCGGCTCTTCTCGGCCTCCGTGTCTTCCACGTAGCAGCGGGGTATGCGCTTGAGGACCTTCACGTTGGCCGACGCCTGGCCTTGGTGGATGCCCTTCAGCTTCTTCCGCAGGACGCAGGACTGGCCCCGGTTATAGGCACTACAGATGGCCCTGATGGAGTCCGACAGCTTGCAGTGGTCCAAGACGATGTCCCAGATCCGGATGATTTCTGTGTAGACCCGACCCGACTTCTCCGGGCAGTGCAGGGTCCGCTCCGTGGTGATGACCTTCTCCGGGTTCTCGCTGCATCGAGGGGAGAAGTCGATGGCCAGCTCCCAGAGCATCCGGGCCCCCTTGTCCAGCTTGGCCTCGAAGAGCCGGATGCTTCCTTTCAGATGTTTCAGCCGCTTCTGGAGGCCTTGAGTCCACTCGCCGTTCCCCAGCTGCTGGATGGCTAGGATGACTTTCTTCTTCATGACCTTAGTCATTACCTTACTGGACAGCTTCTTCAGCATTTCCGAAGTGCACTCGATCTCCCATGTCATGTTCTCGAAGTCCTGGAGGCAGGCCTCGATCTCCTGCGTGCTCCAGCTGTCCAGATCGTCACTGCCTTCTCTCCCTCTGTGGCCAGCGGGAACGAGCCGCGAGGCCCCGAGGCCCGCCTGAGCAACTCCACCCCCTGCCTCGAGGATGGTGTGGCTGTTCCCACTGGAGTCAGAGCCTCGCGCCCCCAGGGCTCGCTGGAGCTCGTCCTTCTTTACCTCCCTACCAGCTCCTGTCTCCGGAGGCTCCGAGCCCTGAGAACAGTCCTCTGGGAGGGACGGATTCAGTTCAAGCTGCTGAATTAAACCCGTGATGTCCCGCACCAGCCGGTCTCTCAGAGAGCAGGGCCTGACGGCCCCCCGCTCCTGCCTCGTTGCCTGTGCATCCGGGAGAGTCTCCCAGCTGTCGGGGACCACAGCTCCTTTGGGCAGGGTCCTGGCGTTGATGCTGCACGACAGAGACTTGGATGAACCCTGGGACCTGAGCTGAGACGTGTGACCGGGGGCGGCGGGCCTCGGGAGCCTCCCCGGGTGGGCGGCAGAGGCCTGCCGGCTCCTGTGCCTGGACTCAGCCAGAGCTTTGTTCCAGGCCAAGAGCAGGGCATCGTTCTTCTTGATCCGGTGCCGCACGTCTTTGCCTTCTTTGTTCTTCAGGTTGAAGTTGATGTCAAACTTCACCAGCAGGTCTATTAGCTTCTTCATGCGCTTCAGCATGCCCTTCTGGAAGAGGATGTGCATCAGCGTGTTGCCGTTGCTGTCCTGGGTGTTGGGGTTGAGGTAGCAAAATTCAGCGGGGTTGGACCAGAAGAGATCCAGCAGGTGGCTGAGGAAGTTAAAACCGATGTCAGCTGAAAGACACAAACCAAACCCTGTGTGAGTGCTCCGTCGCTCTCCCCAGGGCACAGAGACCCCGGGATTTGGAGAGACGCCAGCCAGGGGCATCTCAGAGCACGAAACTTCCCCCAAGTACTTGACAGCCCAGGGGTTCACAAGCAGGGGCGGTCTGCTCCCCGAGGGACACCTGGCCTCGTCTGGAGACACCGTTGGTTGTCACACTTGGGGAGGCGGGATGGGCATCTAATGGGTAGAGGCCCAGGATGCTGCTAGACATCCTACAATGCACGAGACAGCCCCCACAGCAAGGAATCGCCTGGTCCCAATGTCAATAGGGTCAAGGTTGAGAAACTCTAAAATAGCTTCATGGCATTCCTGACATAAGATTTTTGTCAGGGCCCCTGAAAATGGTGTCGATAACCGGGAAGTATTTGTCGGCTACGGACAGCCAGGTGAAGAATCAACCCGCGCCGACCATTCACCGTGACGGTTGCCCCTTCTCATCAAGCTATGGGCGAGGGG